CACCCCAGCAGCCCCTGGTCCCATCCCTTGATGACCTGCCCAGTCCCCAGTGAGAACACGAACGGCTGCTCCGGGCTCAGGCTGCTGTCAAAGGGGGTCCCGTCCTCCAGCGTGCCCTGCACCAGTACAAACCAGTATAAACCAGTACGGACCGGTATAAACCAGTATAAACCAGTACGGACCAGTATAAACCAGTACGGACCAGTAAGGACCAGTATGGACCAGTCCATACCCCCAGTTCCCTCCAGTTCCTCCCAGTCCATCCCAGTCCATCCCAATATAACCAGTATAACCAGTCTAACCAGTCTAACCAGTCTAACCAGTCTAACCAGTCTAACCAGTCTAACCAGTCTAACCAGTCTAACCAGTCTAACCAGTCTAACCAGTCTAACCAGTCTAACCAGTCTAACCAGTCTAACCAGTCTAACCAGTCTAACCAGTCTAACCAGTCTAACCAGTCTAACCAGTCTAACCAGTCTAACCAGTCTAACCAGTCTAACCAGTCTAACCAGTCTAACCAGTCTAACCAGTCTAACCAGTCTAACCAGTCTAACCAGTCTAACCAGTCTAACCAGTCTAACCAGTCTAACCAGTCTAACCAGTCTAACCAGTCTAACCAGTCTAACCAGTCTAACCAGTCTAACCAGTCTAACCAGTCTAACCAGTCTAACCAGTCTAACCAGTCTAACCAGTCTAACCAGTCTAACCAGTCTAACCAGTCTAACCAGTCTAACCAGTCTAACCAGTCTAACCAGTCTAACCAGTCTAACCAGTCTAACCAGTCTAACCAGTCTAACCAGTCTAACCAGTCTAACCAGTCTAACCAGTCTAACCAGTCTAACCAGTCTAACCAGTCTAACCAGTCTAACCAGTCTAACCAGTCTAACCAGTCTAACCAGTCTAACCAGTCTAACCAGTCTAACCAGTCTAACCAGTCTAACCAGTCTAACCAGTCTAACCAGTCTAACCAGTCTAACCAGTCTAACCAGTCTAACCAGTCTAACCAGTCTAACCAGTCTAACCAGTCTAACCAGTCTAACCAGTCTAACCAGTCTAACCAGTCTAACCAGTCTAACCAGTCTAACCAGTCTAACCAGTCTAACCAGTCTAACCAGTCTAACCAGTCTAACCAGTCTAACCAGTCTAACCAGTCTAACCAGTCTAACCAGTCTAACCAGTCTAACCAGTCTAACCAGTCTAACCAGTCTAACCAGTCTAACCAGTCTAACCAGTCTAACCAGTCTAACCAGTCTAACCAGTCTAACCAGTCTAACCAGTCTAACCAGTCTAACCAGTCTAACCAGTCTAACCAGTCTAACCAGTCTAACCAGTCTAACCAGTCTAACCAGTCTAACCAGTCTAACCAGTCTAACCAGTCTAACCAGTCTAACCAGTCTAACCAGTCTAACCAGTCTAACCAGTCTAACCAGTCTAACCAGTCTAACCAGTCTAACCAGTCTAACCAGTCTAACCAGTCTAACCAGTCTAACCAGTCTAACCAGTCTAACCAGTCTAACCAGTCTAACCAGTCTAACCAGTCTAACCAGTCTAACCAGTCTAACCAGTCTAACCAGTCTAACCAGTCTAACCAGTCTAACCAGTCTAACCAGTCTAACCAGTCTAACCAGTCTAACCAGTCTAACCAGTCTAACCAGTCTAACCAGTCTAACCAGTCTAACCAGTCTAACCAGTCTAACCAGTCTAACCAGTCTAACCAGTATAACCAGTATCCCCAGTCTAACCAGTATCCCCAGTACCGAGTAGAGCAGGCTGAGCAGGTCTCCTCTCCGGGATCTCTCGGGGCAGCGCTGCGGCCGCTTCCTCACCCCGATCTGGAGCCGCCGCGGCTCGGCCGACACCGGGGGCAGCGCCAGGGCCAGGGCCAGCAATAACCACTGCGTTAATTAGCGTTAATTAGCGTTAATTAGTGTTAATTAGCGTTCATTGGCACCGCTTCCTCACCCCGATCTGGAGCCGCCGCGGCTCGGCCGACACCGGGGGCAGCGCCAGGGCCAGGGCCAGCAATAACCACTGCGTTAATTAGCGTTAATTAGCGTTAATTAGTGTTAATTAGCGTTCATTATCGTTAATTAGTATTAATTAGCGTTACTTAGCGTTAATTATCATTAATTGGCACCGCGGTGTCACCGGGGGCAGCGCCAGAGCTAGAGCCAGCAGCAGCCACTGTGGCAATTAATTAGTGTTAATTAGTGTTAATTAGCGTTAATTGGCACCTCGGTGTCACCCTGACAGCACCAGGGCCAGAGCCAGCAGGAGCCACTGCATTAATTAATGTTAATTAGTGTTAATTTGGGTTAATTAGTGCTAATTGGCGCCTTGGTGTCACCAGAGCCAGCAACAGCCACTGAGGGGTTAATTAGTGTTAATTAGTGTTAATTTGGGTTAATTATCATCTCAGCCGTCACCGGGGGCAGTGCCAGAGCCAGAGCCAACAACAGCCACTGCATTAATTAGTGTTAATTAGTGTTAATTAGTGTTAATTATCGTTAATTATCACCTCGGTGTCACTGGGCCAGCGCCAGCGCCAGCAACAGCCACCGCAGGGGTTAATTAGTGTTAATTGGGATTAATTGGGTTTAATTATCACCTCAGTGCCACCCTGACAGCACCAGCAGAAAACACTGATGGGAACCCGCGTTAATTATCGTTAATTGGCATTAATTGGCATTAATTGACATTAATTATCATTGTTAATAACTGCCATTAATTCTCATTCTCATTCTCATTAATTGCCATTAACAGCCATTACCTTTCATTAATTGCCATTAATTGCCATTAGTTGTCATTAGCTGCCATTTATTCTCATTAATTGTAATTAATTCTCATTAATTGCCATTAACTTTCATGAATTGTCATTAATTCTCATTAATTGCCATTAACTCTCATTAATTTTCATTAATTGCCACTAATTCTCATTAACTGCCATTAATCGCCATTAATTGCCATTAATTCTCATTAGCCTTCATTAGTTGCCATTAATTCCCATTAGTTCTCATTAATCGCCATTAATTCTCATTAATTGCCATTAACTCTCATTAATTCTCATTAACCTTCATTAACCCCCATTAATTCTCATTAGTTGTCATTAACTCCCATTAATTCTCGTTAGTTTTCATTAATTCTCATTAATTAACATTAATTGCCACCCTGACAGCGCCCGCGGCAGCCGCTGGGGGGCGCTATAACCGCGCGCGCCAGTGACGTCACAGACGTCGCGCTGATGACGTCACGGTGCCAATTCCCGCCCTGGGCCCCGCCCCGCCCAAACCTGAGGGGGCCCCGCCCCTCCCCCACCCCCCAACGCCCGCAGCGCCCCCAAAACAACCCCGGGCCCCGCCCCCACCCCCCCGGGACCCCCGAAAGCCTCCCCGGGACCCCCCCAAAGCCCCCCCGGTCCCTCCCGAGCTCCCCCCGCCCCAAATTCCGCCCCGGGACCCCCCAAATCCGCCCCTCCCCCCCCCTCCCGGTACCTCCGCAGCCATCGCTGCTCCCGGCTGGGTCACGTGATCGGCGCGGTACCGCTGCGTCCGGTCACGTGGAGATAGTTTCCGGTCACGCTGTGTCTTTGTTTCCGGTCACGTGCTTCCGCCCCGGAAGCGGAAGCTGCGGCGATGGCGGCGCGGCGCGCGGTTGCCATGGTAACGGCCGGGCCGAGGGGTGCTAATTAACCCCTAAATCACCGCTAATTAGCGCTGCCCTCCCCCTCTGCGGCGCCTCATTTGCATGAAGAGCCCCCGGCGCGGCCGCTGCTTGGCTGCGGGGCTCGGGACGGCGGCACTTGGCGTTAATTGGGAGTTAATTACCGCCGGGGGGGGGAAATTAGCGGTGTTCGGGGCTAATTAATGCTAATTAGGGGGGGCGCGATAGGGCCGCGGCTGCTGGACATCAGCCGGCACTAAATAAGTTGTCAATGTTTTGTTAATTTTCGATTAGCGGTACTTAAAGGCCTAATTACCAATAATTATGAGCTAATTAGCGTTAATTAATAGGTGGTTTGTTGGTAATTAATCACCGATAATCAACGTGTAATTAGCAGGAATTAATGGCTTTATTAATAAACATTCGGAACATAGGGCCAATTAATAGCGAAAATAACAGCAATTAACGACTTAATTAGCTCTAATTAAGATTAATTAAGATGTAATCAATTAAGGAATTCCGGAATTAATGGTAACGTGTGTCCTAATTAACGGCGATTAACGGCGGTCACTCAGTCACGAAGCGTCGGGTTTCATGGTTAAGTGGTGGCTAATTAAGGGTTAATGAAGGGTTAATTAGTCGTTAATTAAAGGTATTAATTGGGGCCGTTCCCACAGGGGCGCTGGGCCCGGCCCTGGAGGGGCCTCAGCAACAGGTGAGACCCGAAATACCCCAAAATGTCCCCAAAACACCCCAAAATACCCCAAAATATCCCAAAATGTCCCAAAATACCCCAAAATATCCCCAAAATGTCCCCAAAACACCCCAAAATGTCCCAAAATGTCCCCAAAATACCCCAAAATACCCCAAAATGTCCCAAAATGTCCCAAAAATACCCCAAAATGTCCCAAAATGTCCCAAAAATACCCCAAAATGTCCCCAAAATGTCCCCAAAATACCCCAAAATACCGAAAATGTCCCAAAACTGACCCAAAATACCCCAAAATGTCCCCAAAATACCCCAAAATAACCCAAAATGTCCCAAAACTGACCCAAAATACCCCAAAATGTCCCCAAAATACCCCAAAATACCCCAAAATGTCCCAAAACTGACCCAAAATACCCCAAAATGTCCCCAAAATGTCCCAAAATGTCCCAAAATACCCCAAAATGTCCCAAAATTCCCCAAAATGTCCCAAAATGTCCCCCAAATACCCCAAAATGTCCCAAAATATCCCAAAATGTCCCCAAATACCCCAAAATACCCCAAAATGTCCCAAAATGTCCCCAAAATACCCCAAAATGTCCTAAAATGTCCCAAAATGTCCCAAAATGTCCCCAAAATACCCCAAAATGTCCCCAAAATATCCCAAAACCCCCAAAATGTCCCAAAATACCCCAAAATGTCCCAAAACTGACCCAAAATACCCCAAAATGTCCCAAAATGTCCCAAAACTGACCCAAAATACCCCAAAAGACCCCAAAATGTCCCAAAATACCCCAAAATACCCCAAAAACTGCCCCAAAATACCCCAAAATACCCCAAACTGCCCCAAAATACCCCAAAATGTCCCAAAATGTCCCCAAAATGTCCCAAAATACCCCAAAATATCCCAAAATATCCCAAAATGTCCCCAAAAATGTCCCCAAAATACCCCAAAATGTCCCAAAATGTCCCAAAACTGACCCAAAATGTCCCAAAATACCCCAAAATGTCCCCAAAATGTCCCCAAATGTCCCAAAATGTTCCAAAATACCCCAAAATACCCCAAAATACCCCAAAATACCGAAAATACCCAAAATACCCCAAAATGTCCCAAAAATACCCCAAAATACCCCAAAAAGTCCCCAAAAATCCCAAAAAAATCCCAAAAATCCCCCAAAAGTTCCCCAAAACATCCCCCAAAATCCCAAAAAAAAATCCCAAAAAAATCCCAAAAAAATCCCAAAAAATCCCCAAAAAATCCCAAAAATCCCCAAAAATTCCCAAAAATCCCCCAAAATCAAAAAAACAATCCCCCCAAAATCCCAAAAATCCCCAAAAAGTCCCCAAAAAAATGCTCCAAAAATCCCCCAAAATCCCAAAAATCCAAAAAAATCTCACCAAAAATCCCCAAAAATCCCCAAAAATTCCAAAAAATCCCAAAAAATTCCCAAAATTCCCAAAATCCACAAAAAATCCACCATAAAACCCCAAAAAATCCCAAAACTCCCCCAAAAATCCCCCCCCAAAACCCCAAAATCCCCAAAATCACCAAAATACCTCAAAAATCCCAAAAAAATCCTCCAAAATCCCAAAAATCCCCCAAAAGTCCCCAAAAAAAATCCCAAAAAAATCCCAAATAATCCCCAAAAAGTCCCCCAAAAAATCCAAAAAAATCCAAAAAAAATCCCCCCAAAATCCCAAAAACCCCAAAAAATCCCAAAACTCACCCAAAATCCCCAAAAATCCCCAAAAAATAAAAAACTCCCCAAAAATCCCCCAAAAAATAAAAAAATC